TATATAACTAATAATAAATAATCTTATTTTTTAAAGATTAAAAATCTATATAAATATAAAAATATAAAAAATATAATAAATTAAAAAAAATAGTAAATACTTAAGAAGTACTTGAAAAGCACTTGGAAAGTACTTAAGGAATACTTAATATTAAAAGTAATAAATAATAATACAGAGAAATTGTATTATAGTTACTGTATACGTTAATCTGACCCGTTTTGCTTATTAATTTGTGCTTGGCAGTCACGTGTTTCAGAGAAGTGTCATCCGAACTTTTTAAAAGATCAGATGACCTGTATACACCTCATTTACCGGTTATATTAACTATCATCCATTAGTCATTGACACGTGACTTCTAACGAACAACCAAGTCAGATGACTGTCACCTATGTGACAAATTAACTGCCCAAAGAACCCTTCCATTATCTCCAGCATCGGCCAACGGACTACAGATAACCTATCTAGTAACCTATTGCATCTTAGCTATATTTGGACAATAACTGCTTTACGTTGCCAATCGGCCCCTTTCTAGTTGGTCTCCGTCAAATATGGCTGCCAGTCTGACACAAGCAGACATCTCAGCCACTTTATAGACGAATTATATATATTAACCCTTTCTTTAGGGCGACTACCACAGCCATGGCTAAGTTTTCGAATAGCAACAGTAATACCTACGATCAGTTACAGCGATTTCCCGACAAAGCTCTCCAAACTTCTGCACTTGCGAGCTGCTACAGTGTCAACACGTCAACATCGAGAATTAATGGTTTCCATTACTACACTACGACTGGGGCTGGTAAGCATACATGGCTTGGATATCGTTAATTTGTACTGATGCCATAGTGCTACCTTTCATAGGAGCCCAGTGGTATCCCTGAGGTCCCCTCAGGGTCGAAAACCTTGTCTCCAAGCCCCCCGCCTGATCCCTCTACCCATACAGGAATGGAGAGCGGTTTTTTGGGTAACATTATACCCGAATACAAAGGGGAGGCGGCGCATACTATCCCGGAAGAGTGTGAGAGGCTCTTCTGCGACACATTGTCTGTGATTTTCCTTGGTGAGGGGATTATCTCTGGACAAGAGTCGCTTGGGACAGATGCGTATCAAATTCAACCGAGCTTAGGTTACGAGCATAGTCGAATTCAAGAGTGGGTTGAGGTGTTGGACTATACAAGTGATTGTATCTACCGAGGATTCGTGACCAGTTCGAGTGACGAGCACGCCCTATTCATATTCTTTAGTGAATGTGCACTTGGCCAAGGTCTCAAGACTGGGTAAGTTTATATTTCGGGGTTACGGGTGGATTACACTGAAATAGAACGGAGACTCACGGCTCGTTTGACAGATTAATTGCCCTTTTTGAGCTAGCAAGTCTCCCTGAATTTGGGTGCTCTCAGATTGTTGCATGCATTCCGCGTTCGCAAGATGCAGCAGAGCTCGAAGTTGTGAGGAATTTGGGTTGGTGCGGATTTAACTTGACAACGCTGCAACCGTGGAGCACTAGAGATTGTGTCGAATTGTCACTTAGTGCTAAATGGCTTTTTTTGGGTGCTGAAGTTTAGAAGTACGACGGTCACTTTACGGCAAGTTGAAACAGTACATCGTATGTTGTCAGATTAATGCTTCCGCTCACTAATGGTTTAATATTGATGTAGTTACTTTCAACTACTTGCAGTGGGGCACAATATAATGGATTCAAATGTTATTGGTGCTCTCAATAAGAGTAGTTATATATACTGTGTAGTAAGCGGAGTCGGAAGCCCGATCCTCCCTTCAAGGGCGGTATGGTATGACCTCAGTATGACACAACTATTAGCACTGACTTCTTGCTCGAAACACAGCGAGTCTATATGGTTTAGCAGATCTCAGCCACACCCTACTATCCTGTAAAATAAAGCTATAATATTGAACACCAGCATTAGACTATTCTTTATGTTCCCCAAGTTCCTTCTCCCTCCAACTGTGTTCCGTTCTCGACAACACAAAGCGGGGTACTCGTCCTCAGCTGGACCCTTTGCCAGAACCTCGTCTATGGATGAGAGTTGCCAGAAATACCTAGGTAGCCAGGTATCATATATTCGGTGTTCTCGTTGTGCAACGGATTTATGTTTGACGTCCCAGATCATCAGCAAAGGCTTCACTGGTCGCCATGGACGTGCGTATCTCGTGTCGGCGGAACCTATCGCCTGTGCGGTATCTACTAGTACAACGTCCTCACCGACAGAGTCACTCCCAAATACCATAATGCAGAAACCTGTATCACGTCAACTAGTCACAGGGGCCCATACAGTCAGTGATATCAGTTGTGCTTTTTGTGGGAATATTCTTGGATGGAAATATGTTGCCGCTGAAGAAGAATCGCAACATTACAAGGTTGGCAAGTTCATTTTGGAAACCAAACGGACCGTGACATCCTCCTCATGGGAGTCGGCTTCATATGTCGGGCCTGTTGCATCGTCTGGACCAATGACTTCTGCAAAAGTGGATGTCGGTACACCGGGCGATTGTGTAGAGTTCGATAGCCAGGACGAAGACGAATGCGAAGATCTGTTTGCCGGTGTTTGGAGCCCTGGGCTGGCTATACGGCGGCGAAGCCGGAAGTTAGATCGTCATACCTCGATTTTTGGCCTTACATCCTGAAGGACTATCACACATTATCTCTCCTTTTCTGTTTCAGCAATCGCGGCATATTGATACCCTGCTACTCATGTTTCCTTTTATGGCTAATATCTGCGGGGCAACCCTGCAAAGGGTTCTTAATGGTAATGTTTAAGCTACAACGATTCCAAGTGCATTACCAAGGTTTCCATAAGTTTGAAAAGTTGTTGGGGTGGGTATCTTCTCTTTTGTCCAAAGTAGTCCCGTAGCCCTCGTAACATTTTGTGGTATAGGGCCAATTCGTTATTTCTTCATGCCGACAGAAGCGAATAAGAGACGGTTAGTAAGGCAATGATCAATATGAAGGCTAAGGGGAACCGTTTGTGTTGCCGACTCGTGTTCTTTTCACATCTCCTTCCTGGTCACTTTCCTGAGCTGGGCGCTTCTGTGTAGATGCCAGTTGTTGGCTACCACCGGGTCTCCGTCTGACAAACGCAGAGAGATCATTCGCTCCCTTCGTAACTTTGTCCAACTGTACCACCTGCTCCGAAGGAGGCTGCCCCATTATCTGACCCAGGATACCTTTCAGCATAGCTTCATTCCTCTCCTCATGATCTTCGAGTGATACCGGGGGGCGCTTTAAATCAACAAGCTGTAGGCCAGTTAGATGTCCGTGGTTCCAGGATAAGAATTCGACGTTCGGATGGTTGAGAAACTTACCCTTTGCTCCATGTCTGCTATGATATCCTTCACATTGGCTATTTTTCTCTTCATAGCGGTTGCTTTGTCTTCCTCCATGGTACTACTGTTATCTAATATCTTCTGCTCCTGAGCCATTCTCACTTGACAGCTTTCAATTGCTTTTTCCATTTGACTCGCCGCTTCTTTTCTCATTTGTTCATTAGCCATCCTATCGCTCTTGCTACCAGCAGAATTGTCATCTGCCTTATTGACAGACGCGAATTCCAGGGCAAGCGAAAGCTTATAATGACATTCGGCGATCGATGGATCCTCCATTGGAAACAAAGACTGTCTCAAATCGAGTGCCGTTTTGAGATCAGTCACTGCGTCCGTGAAACGTTCAGCTTCTAGCGAGATCTCGGCCTGGAGATCGTACGTATCTGCAAGGCGCTCCTTAATTTGTTTTATATGATGAGGTAGATCTGCGGCTTTGCCTTTCCCACATTTTTCTTCCGCTGCGTTTAATTTCTTGAGGTACAGTATGCGCGCAAGGTCGAGGACTTCAAAAGCATTGGCGAAGTCATCTTCATCTTCTTCGACACCCCCGTCACCATCGCTTTTATCCTCACTGTCGGAATCAGAGGCGTCAAAGTTCTCATCTCCTGTGAATTGAAAATAAGGCTTTTCCTCAACCTTCTGAGACTGCGCCTTTCCAGCAAGCACCTCCTTCTGTGCCAGTCCATTGGAAATGGCATCCTGAACAAGGCTATCGCCAACAGATGCTGTCCCAGACGAGGATGCATTCACAGTAAGCGGATCATGTACCTGTGTCTGACTTTCTCCAGCTACTTTGGAACCAAGGACATCACTCTTGCTCAGCGCAACATTGTAAAGAGATTTTCCATAGGAATATAGTAGGTCGGCATTGTCCAGCGACAACTCCCCATTTAACCTAGCTTGGAGCTCTGTAGCCTCAGAATAAAGCTCAGCAGCAGCGTTGAAATCTTTGACGGCATCCTTGGCGGCAGCTCGCTCAGTCAGGTCTGTTAAGTGCGCCCTCATACTTTCAGTATTATTTTGGAGCGGTGCAGCGCTCATTTCCGCATGGACATACTCCGCCATTGCTGCGGTCTATTGTCCCAAGTGTCTTGTTCCCAAAATGACGGGGTAATATAGTTTGGGGCGCTAAAGATAGTAAAAGGATCAAACTAAGTAGTTCCCTGAGAAACAAGAATTAAGATCCACTAGAGAAAAGAGTAATGGGCAGGGGGGATGCAAGCGCGAAAAAATAAAAGAAGGAAATAGTTGTTTTCTATCTCTTGACATTCAATGACGGACTTATTTCCAACTGGGCGCGGGTCGCGTCAGTGGCCGCGCCACTCTATTTAATTTATCACGCGTCCGCCCACGCAGTCTACAGAGTAGATTGCCATCGCTTTTGGAGTTTGCTTAGTACCGCTGGCAGCTGCTACTGAGATCACAGCGAGATCAGTAAATAACGCAAATTGAGTCAATTCTTATGGAGCTTGTTGCCTCGTCAAAAATTGGTTAAAGGGACGCCCGCAGCATAAAAACCCATATCCACGATTATTGAGGTACATGTGAATGTGTATGTAATGATGGACTCGGACCTGGTCCCTTCATCATCTCCTGCATTTGCGACCCCCGCGCACCCTTCGCGAAAAAACAAATCCAATAATCTTCCTACAAGGACGTCTATACTGCCTATTTTAATTCCCCCCTCCACCCTTCGGCCCGTCGCTTTCCGTACATTCACCCGGAAACATAACTTGACCATTTCATCATCTGCACTGCAGACTTTAGCTACCTTTGTGGGCAAAAATTGCGGTTCAGGATGGCGCGAAGAAGGCCTTGCAGAGAGAGTGTTGGATGAAGTGGCTAAAAGCTGGAAAAAGGCTGGAGGAGGTGTTATTGTCGAAGAAGGCAAAGGTGCCTCGCTACAAATGATTTTGCAAACCATTGAAGGAAATATGAGCGGGGGTAGGTTTGTTGTTGGCAAGACCTCGACAACAGATGGCGTGTCCATGAGTACGTGTCGGAATAGGGAGAGTATGCACCCCAATCTACGTTTGTCTCCCACTGCAGCATCGACACTAGGAGATGGAGAACAGGGAGACTCGGACCTTTCCTTTCACCCAAGAAATTGGATCAAGATAGTTGATGCATTTGATATTCCGCGCCTGACATACAACGCCGACAAGAAATATTTCGAGGTCGCAAAGTCGAAGGCTTCTCTTTTTCCACAGCCCTCTCATAAGACTGCCTTGTTCCGGGATCGTTATAATGTGATTCACCAGCGCTTACTACGAAATGAATCGTTTCAACTGTCATTGGGCTCTTCCAGCATACCTTCATTGTCGCGATCCTCATTATCTTTCGCTCCTAATAAATGCTACAAGCTTACTCCAGTCGCAAACCTGCTAGGCAGGAGTGGTACTTCGCATTTGTTACTCGGCATACTTTCTGTTTCACCAACGGGTGATCTGTCCCTTACCGACTTGACTGGCAGTATCGCTTTGGAACTGAGTCATGCGCGGATGATACCCGAGAATGGTGCCTGGTTCGCGCCTGGTATGATTGTACTCGTCGATGGGATCTACGAAGAAGAAGAAACCGTGAAGGGGTCGACCTTGGGTGGGAACACCGGGGTTGGGGGTGCTATTGGGGGTATGTTCGTCGGAGTCTCTATTTGTGGACCTCCCTGTGAAAGACGGGAAATGTCACTGGGAACCAAAAGTCGACAGGCCACGGGGGAAGTGAGCTCTAGCGGGGGTTTTGGCTGGGTAGACTTTCTGGGAGTTGGAAGCGAACGTGCACAGGGAACTCGTATGAGACATATTCAGGCGAGATGCTTACAGGACTTGAACGGGGGTGCAGATGACTCCCGTTGCACCAAAATGGCAATCATGAGCGAGGTTAACCTTGATCATGTGAAGACGGTAGACGCACTGAAGCGGCTCTTCGGCTTCTATAGTGACTTGCCGCTGAGAGAACGGCCAATTGTTTTCGTTCTAATTGGGAACTTTGTCCAGAAGGCCATGGTCAACGGTAGCGGCCAGGCAGGTGGTATTGAGTACAAAGAATACTTTGACTCGCTCGCTATGGTGCTATCTGAATTCCCTTCTCTGCTACAGCACTCTACGTTCACTTTTGTGCCTGGTGACAACGACCCCTGGCCCTCCGCCTTTTCAGCTGGTGCTGCTTCTGCTATCCCTCGTCAGGCTGTTCCTGAACTGTTCACTTCACGGGTGAAACGTGCCTTTGCTACGGCGAATGCTGAGTCGGACCGATCCCAGTCATCCGAGCCTATTGGTGAAGCTATTTGGACTACGAATCCCTCACGCATCACCTTATTTGGACCACTCCATGACATCGCTATAGTCCGCGATGACATTTCAGGGCGGCTGAGACGCAGCGCAGTGAGCATTGGACAGGATGCTGATAGGTCTACAGTAATGGATGAAGAGATGGATAACCAAAGGAGCTCCATAGCACCTGAAGGCTCCATCGAGACCAAGACGCCACGAATAGGAGCTGAATCCTATCCGGTTGCTTCTGCAGTCAATGTGTCACGAAAGCTTGTCAAGACTATTTTGGATCAAGGCACCATGTCGCCTTTCCCACTTTCGTTGCGACCCGTCTTATGGGATTATGCGTCTTCCTTGCAGCTGTACCCATTGCCCTCAAGCTTTATTCTAGCCGATCCTGAAGCGGCGCCGTTCTGTATGACTTATGAAGGATGTCATGTAATGAATCCCGGAAAGCTTATTCCGGAAGGTGACTTGTCTTCCGTGAGGTGGATTGAATATGATGCTTTCAAGAACCGAGGAAAGGTGAAAGAGATGCGCTATTAGCCATTGATCATCAGGATGGGGGCGGTTGATAACCACGTCCATAACTACATGCCATAGTTTTTCACTTCTCGCGACAGAGCAAGCCCGGAACTATGTAATGCATGATAGTTAGAACCATTTAGCTATTCAATTTTGATTCAGTGCTGCGGCTGACTATAACGTAACTGGTAAGCACCCTGCGCACGCAAGTACCCGGCGCAGCTCTGTATTCTACACAAATAAGCTCTTTTTGCTACTCGAATATCTCAGCAACCAGAGATAGTAATAATATAATATTTAATCAATAATACAATATATAGTAGATAAAGCTAAAAAGACTTTTTTTTAAATAGGTTTTCTCTTATTTTTATACTATAAATAAAAAATACCAAAAATACTGTTGTAATATCTAATACTAGGGATATTCTTATTTATATCAATTTCTTTGTCAAATATATAAAAGATTAAGAGTTACTATATATATCTTTTAAATTTTCTAGTATCATAACTTGTTGTTGCTGAGATATTTAAGTAGCTAAAATAGATTCTTTATATGGAATACGGCGCTGCGCAGGGTACTTGCGTGCGCAGGGTGCTTACTGGTTACGTTAATCCTTGTGTGGCTTTGTAAGCTACGTATAACCTAGGTTGACAGGATCTATATTCTCTAGGGACGGAAATAAGTTGGCGCTGTATGTCAAATATCTTGAACTCGATGTTTCCAATAAGTGCTAACGGGGCTTGCGATAATTCAATGAAAAGTTAGTAATTGGCAGCAAAAATGCCCTGGACACGGTAAAGAATGGATAATAGTACAGAAAGACTGACAGCCAAGGTCCGATGCGAAGAATAACTGATAATGAAGTTGAAAGTAGAAAAGTACAACACCCCGTAACTAACGCCTTGATTCTGTGAACCCTGCTGTAGGAGCTAACAATACATTAATTTCGTTGATCAAGCTCGTGACGGAAATCTCCTGCCAAGATATGGAGCCAGCGAAAATGACTCCTACAACATGATCCCAAGGAAAGGAGCCGCCGGGTGAAGGAAAATCATGTAGACCAAATCACTGTACAGATGGCTACAATAGCGACGGTCGTGACACATACAAATACCTTATTTGTACCCAGGAAGAAACAGAAAACAGTAAGAGGGGTGGGGGGCGATAATCCAAATCTAGTGGCTTATGACGAGGCAACCCAATATGTCCAGAGGTTGAGGAGGTTTTGCAACTCTAATCAATCATAATAATATCCGCATTTTGTGCGGTGTCACCAGCCTTGTGCCGACTTGTAACGTTTGGTGCAGGAATCAATTTTGCTGATTCATTGAGTATGCCTTCAAGGTTTCCATTTTCTGCCGTCGACTGTTGACCAAAACTCTTTGAACCGTTGGCTTTCACTTCAGGTGTCGAGCCTGCCAAACCTACAGTGCCGCTGGCCTCAAAACATTTGTCGAGCTCTGTCAGAAGGTTTCCAACTTTGTTAGTCTCGGCGACAACTCCATTACCCAAACCTCTCCAGCCATCACCCTTAGAGTTATATAACCTTTCTCGAAGCTCCGACTTGAGTTGATCTTGGCTTGATCCTTCCTTAGGACTGTTCAGCTCTTTCAGAATCCAGAGCACGTGACTAAGGTGATGAGTGGCAACTAATTGGAAACGGAAGCTCTGGGCAGGATAGTGAATCTGAAATGTCTTCGCGTTACGGACAGTCACTTGCACCCTTAGTGGCTGCTTGTTAGACGGATTCATCAAGATCCGGTCTAGGGCTCGCATTAATGGAAGTGTAAGCAAGAGAAGTTCAACAGCAGTGTCTAGACCCGCGTCGGTGGTGCTGTGATTCAATGTGGATTCAATAGATTTCTGTATGCGACGATGTGGGTTTGGAAATTCAAGAGATAGGCCTAAGCGCAAACGAAACAATGACTTGGTTCGAGACGCAAGGAGAATAGGATCATACTCTATAGAACTCGGCGGCATGGTTGTTTCAATATTCAGGGTGGCGAGGAGGTCTTTCTCGGGGCCGTAGGCAAAGGTGACATGTGACAGCGACAGAGATCGAGGCTCCATTTTCTTTCGCTGAAGGCTCTCGAAAATCGACAAGACACAGTCAAGTCTTTGCAAATTTTCCATGAGTTTGGGAATGATAGGGCGGCCAGGCGGAGCCAGCAGGCGGATAGCGAAGCCAGTACCTCTCTTTTGGAAAACCAGCGAATGGTCCCATGTTGAATTCAAAGCGCTGAATGTTTTGGTTGGTATCAGTAAAT